CACACAAGAGAGGAGAAACCCTCCACTGACTCTCACGAGTATGAAGACTGGGAGCAAGAGGATGCTCAGATCATCACATGGTTATGGAATACTATGGAACCCAGGATTAGTGTAAATTTCATGTTTCTTGACACTGCCAAAGATGTGTGGGACCATGCGAAGAAATTGTATTCGGGTCAGGACAATACAACCAGAGTATATCAGTTGTATCAAGAGTACTTTAATCTGCAACAAGGTAACCAGAGTCTTGAGGAGTACTATGCCAGTATGAGAAACATATGTAATGAGATGAATGTCTATCACCCTCTCACTTCTGATGTTAAAATTCAGCAACGGAGAGAACAGCTTGATGTGACTCGATTTTTGGTGGGACTGAAATCTGAATATGAACCAGTACGGGCTTAGATACTAGGAGGATCAGCTCTCCCTTCTTTAGAAGAGGTATTTGCTCGACTCCGGAGGACTTCTATCGGATCTACTGAGAACTCTAATATCTCAGATAGATCTGCCTTTATTGTGTCGAGAGGCCGTGGTGCTAGAGGTGGAGCTCTGGGAGCTCAGTCTGGCTGTGGTGGTAGTAGTGGTCCGATGTATGGCCAAAGTGGCAATGGTGGGCCTACTTATAATCGTAGTGGTGGTCGTACTGGGGGCAGAGATTCAGGGGGAGCCTGTGGTAGAGGACGTGGCTCAGGCCCGAGGAGGTGCACTCATTGTGGTATGGATGGACATACCAATAACTATTGTTATGATCTACATGGTCCACCCTCAACCTGGGCCAATCATGTTGTGACTAGTGACACCAGTTCCAGCTTTAGACAGGAGAATCGTTCATCTGATCAGATACCTCCTACATCCACAGATGGTCCCGTGAAGGAGATGGTGAGTGTTCCCCGTGATGAATATGAGAGGTTTATCCAATCCACATCACAGCAGAACATGGCTACTTTCGCTCACTCAGGTATGGTTTCTTTGGCATCCACACCCAATCCCTGGATCATTGACTCTGGAGCCTCCGATCACATGACTGAAACTCCAGGTGTGTTTTCTCCCCTATCTCATTGCTCAACATCACAATCTGTCACCCTTGCTAATGGTTCCACATCCTCAATTTGTGGTGTTGGTAATGTTGACCTAGACCCTGTATCCCTATCCTCAGTTTTGTATGTTCCTAAATTGCCTTATAATCTTATGTCTGTTAGTAAGCTGACCAAATCACTTAATTGCTCCATTACTTTTTATCCTTCTATGTGTGTTTTTCTGGATCTCAAGACAGGGATGAAAATTGGTGGAGGGCATGAAGCTGGTGGACTGTATTACCTTGACAATGGTGGAAAAACTTCAACAGCTCTCCAGTCATCCCTTTCTCCTCTCCAGTGGCACTGTCGATTTGGTCATCCATCGCTGAAAGTTTTGAAGGCTTTGGTTCCGTCATTGAGTCAACTTTCTGTTTTGGATTGTGAGTCGTGTCAGTTTGGGAAACACCATCGTGTTCCCTTTAGTTCTAGGGTTGATAACCGTGTGTCAAGTCCTTTTTCTTTGATTCACTCCGATGTTTGACGTCCTTAAAAAGTGATGTCATATAATGGGTATAAATATTTTGTCATTTTTTTAGATGATTTTTCAAGGATAACGTGGCTCTATCTAATGAAAGAAAGAAGTGAATTGTTTACCATTTTTCAGAAATTTTATACTGAGATTCGTAATCAATTTGGTATTCACATTAAAGTTTTCCGTTCTGATAATGGCCGTGAATATTTATCATCATTTCAAGAATACCTGGACCAACACGGCATTATACATCAGACCTCATGTACCTACACCCCACAACAAAATGGGGTGGCTGAGAAAAAGAATCGCCATCTCTTGGAAACAGCACGATCCCTCATGCATCACATGAATGTTCCCAAACCCTTTTGGAGTGATGTGGCGCTTACCTCTTGCTTTCTAATTAATCGAATGCCCACGTCCATCCTTGATGGTCATTCTCCGTTTACGATCATGTTTCCCGCCTTGTCTGCGTTTCCTCTTACTCCTAGGGTATTTGGGTGTGTCTGCTTCGTCCATAATCTGGGTCCCGGGAACGACAAGTTCGATGCCCGTTCTCTCAAGTGCATCTTCCTTGGCTATTCTCGGACCCAGAAAGGGTATGTGTTACCATCCTAGTTCTCGACAGTCCTTTGTGTGTGCTGATGTCACTTTCTTTGAGTCTACTCCGTTCTTTTTGGGGTCCGGTGATACTTCTTCCTCCTCGTCACCTCCTCCTCTTCCACTTCCCGTTGTCGACCCTCTTCCCCTTGTTCCAACCGTGACCAAATCCTTGCCTCCAATGCCACCACCTGTTGAACGCCCACCTATCCGTCAAGTGTATACACATCGCCCACGCGCATCCGACTACATCACCGTCGACAGATCCGGCTCCAGACCCGAACCCAGCATCTAATCTTGATCTTCCCATTGCCTTGCGGAAAGGTAAACGCACTTGCACCCTTCATCCTATTTCTTATTATGTTTCACTTACTCACCTTTCCACCTCCCATCGCCAGTTTGTCACCTTGTTATCATAAATTGTTGTCCCTAAGGATGTCCAGGAAGCCCTTGCCTCTCCAGGGTGGTGTCGTGCGATGGAAGAAGAACTTTCAGCCCTTCATCATAATCATACTTGGGACCTCATCGTTCTTCCTCCTGGGAAGCAAGTTGTTGGTTGTAAATGGGTTTATACAGTTAAGTATCTACCTGATGGTAGTGTTGAGCGCCTAAAAGCGCGATTGGTTGCAAAAGGGTACTCCCAAACCTATGGTATTGACTACACGGAGACCATTTCACCAATTGCTAAGATAGGGTCAGTTCACATTAGCACGACATGAGTCAAGCTTCGACCAAGTGAACGCTGTTTTGCAAGCAGTGTTAACCAAACTCCAAGCCTTTCGAGCCTCACGAACCACTCCCGAGACCAACCCTTTTGCACACGAAGAGTCCTCACACCCGCACACTTCCCGTTACAGCTCCACCCATGATCACCCTCGTCAGCATGTCAAATTGTCGTTTCCGAAAGTTAATGGGGACGATCCGAGCGGCTGGATTTACAAGGCAGAGCAATATTTTGACTTCCAAAATATTGTACCGGACCAACAAGTGCATCTAGCTTCCTTCCATCTAGAAGGCATCGCCTTGCAATGGCATAGGTGGCTGACGAAACATCGCGGACCACTCACATGGGAAGAATTCTCTAAGGCGGTGCTACAACGATTTGGTCCAACCGACTACAAGGATCCGTCGAAAGCTTTAACTCGCCTCAAGAAAACTACAACTGTGGCAACTTACCAAGAAGCCTTTGAACGACTCTCCCATCGAGTTGACGGCCTACCCAAGAGTTTTCTCATTGGTTGTTTTATTGCAGGACTTCGCGATGACATTCGTATAGACGTGAAGATTAAGCAGCCTAGAACCTTGATAGATACGATCGGAGTTGCTCGACTAATTGAGGAACGGAACCAACTACAACGGAAATCGAACCAGCAAGTTCGATCCCAACCAACCGTAGTATCCCAGAGGGGGTCACCTAACCCAATGGCGGGTGTGCTCAGGCCTCCACCAACCCAGCGCACGAACCAGGTTCCCAG